ACTTCGTACACTGCGGCACCGGTCTTCACTGCTCTAATGCAATGCCGCTTACAGCGGGTGCCGCCCATTCAACCTCGATTGTACTACTTATGTTGCTAACGCGAATTTTTGTAACAATTGACGGGGCCTGGACGAGGAGCGCATTTCGGAATAATGGTTCCTTTTCGATAGGCCTTTCGCCGGTCGATTAATTGCGGTTGCACCAGTAAGTGCACGCTACCGTCCAGCGGGATCGATAGAGTGCAGGTGCTGCCTACGACATGACAGAGAGGTCACTGTTGCATTCTGTAGCCGGAAATGAGGGGAATTTTAACAGTGGCCCTGATTTTGCTCCTTTGCCTGGAGATTACCGCTCGTCGCGGTCGTTCCAAGGTAGGCAGCCATCAATACCGCTAACAGTGCTAGACTTCTCTGAATGAATTTCCTTATAGTCATCCCCTGTATGGCAAAAGCCACGTCACCTCCGAAGCTACTCGTCAGCTGACACCAGCGGGGCTTCCGGAGACACCAAAAAACCCCGGACTCTGGTCTCGTGTGCCAGCCTTCAGTCGTCCTTACATCGAGGTGGAGCGGGAAGAAGGCGAAGTGTATCTAGATGCACTGAAGTAAGCCCAGTTAGACAGCTCGTGAGGTAATGAAAATGTCAAACTTGCCAGTGTACCAAATGCCTGTTTACTAGAAATATATCTGTACTTTTCTGCTCACTACTTATGTTATGATTCACAGAAGATTATGATCGACTCCCTACTTGCTTCTGACTGAGGAACTTTCCGTTAAATCGTTTTTAGAAAATACAACAGCCAATTGTTCATATTATACGTTCTAAAGGGGTAAATTGCAGCTGTATTTTTGCACCGCTTCGGTCAATTAACTGAATAGCTCAACTGTTGACCGAGTGTAACTAGTAGTCTACAGTCTTTTCTTTGTGGGAAATGCATAGCACGCTCATGCACAAGGTTAAAATCCCATCGGATATTTTTATCTACAAAGAACAGTAACAAAAGAAGCTTGAAACCGATATATGCCCAGTTGGGTAGATAAAAACTTTCCCTCATTTAATCTGTGATGGCACGTCTGGCGGTCTGTCGTACTTAACATTTCTCATATCCAGTATTTATTTGAGTGACTACGCTGAAATTCAGAAGAAGATGCGATCGTTGGAACAAGAAATATATTGGCCTGACGTTTTGGATTTTAACCCCGAAGCGCCAGTTCAATAAACTCATTGGTCCAGTTATCATATCTTCTTTCCGATCCATTTCCTGGAACCCGCCTCTGTACATCTATCATCTATTCATATTACAATTCAATCCATTGGCAGGAAACAATCAATGCCACTATGTTTAGTGAGTCGTCATAAAGTCTAACACATTATAAGGTATACAGGGAGAAATAGGTTGATTTTTCATGATGCATTTTTTGGGACCGGTCACCTTCCCCTTCTCGTGGTTTGCCGAATCCTATGGACGGCTGATGAGGAAATTACGCACAGCTGATGACCTTGTACGAACTTCTGTCTACTGGGTGTCACATGCATGTACGACAAAACCTAAGGATTTACGGAGACTCAGCACGGTCCAAGCAAGGAATATACCACATTCTCCTTCCTGTAGCCGTACTTAGACAACTGAGGGGGCGAAAAGTTGCATGGCCGGCGAAATCGGATGTTC